TTGCTCGACGGGCAGCCATTCCGCTATATTTCTGGATCTATTCATTATTTTAGAATTCATCCAAGCCAATGGAATGACAGGTACAATTGACAAATTTTACCCGGATCTTCTCTTTGAATTATATCAAATGTTAATGTAACTTTTAAATAGGTACGATTGTTCAGCAATTTGTAGTTCTCTTCTTTCACTATTATTTTGGCTTGCCGAATTTAGGCTCCAGCGAGTAAGAGCTCTAGGCTTTAATGCCATTCAGTATTACATCCCATGGAACTTTCACGAAATCCGCGAAGGAGAGTGAGTATATCAATAGAAAAGGAAACAAAACCATAGAGAAAATTGGCATAGTGTAGGTTTTAGGTACGACTTTTCGGACTGGCGCAATTTTACGGAATTCTCTCGATTAGCTTACGATTTGGGAATGTATTCCTTAGTGAGAGTGGGTGAGCAAAGTTCACCTTAATTAAGCGCATCTATTTGCAACAAAGTTTATTAACATTTAGGACCTTACGTCTGTGCTGAATGGGAGAATGGAGGACTGCCATGGTGGCTTTTAAAGAAAAATATCACGAAGATGCGAACCAGTGAAGAAGGGTTAGGGAGGACCTAGGGTTTACATTAAAAAATGGGCTATTACAGATTCAAGGAAGCCGTTAAAAAATGGTTCTCAGTGCTTCTCCCAAAAATTGAGCCGCTTCTTCGACAACACGGTGGACCAGTGCTGATGATTCAAGTTGAAAATGAATATGGAAGCTATGACGCTTGTGACAGGTGCCTACTTTTTGAAATATTTACTTTTATTTTTTTGAAATCTTCCGTGTAGTTGTAAGAAACAGTTTTTGAAACTGATACTATTATGAAAATTCGCTTGATAGTTCAGAGTTACTTATAAATAGGGCCAAGTACGGACTTTTTTTACAAAATCAAATATCGTTAATATAATTTACCTTAGAAGAGTTATGATTTCTCGAACAGTCCAGCGCTTACGCTAACTCATTTTATGTTAATGAAATCAATATTTGGAGGTTTAGGGAATACACAGCTTGGTTGCGAGACCTCTTCTTAGAATATCTCGGCGACGAAACAGTGCTCTACACAAGTAAGAACAATTTATTGTGTTCTGATAATAAGAATTTTACTACATGATCTCAAAAATTATGAGTTTCTCGCCTTAGCTGACGGAGGCTCAATCTCCTATCTCAAATGTGGAGCTATACCTGAAACTCTCACTACCGTTGATTTTGGACCAACATCCGAAAAGAATATCAATGCTTCGTTTGAAGCACAGAGGAAGTATTTTCCTGATGGT